CTGTTAACTACTGTTACAGTACTACTCTTACAGTACATTATCATTTTTTTTTTAACACACCAGCCATCTCCCATTGAGGTAGGGTGACAGTACAGTACATAAATATGGTACTTTAATTATTACATTCATGGGTAGTACATATAGGCTATAACCAAATTTTACCAACTATGTATGCAACAAATTTACTATTAACCCTAGATTAAGCTAAACAGTATCCAGCAAGCCACAGACTTTGCAAATCACCAAAGTCAGCGAGTTATCCACTCAGCAGGTTTGGGAACTTTTTAAAAGATAACCATGAATTATCCAACAAACATAATTTAGGTTTAGGTTAGGTTACTGCTTGCCTGTAATTTTACTAAATTTATATAGACTATGGAAGAACTTTTATGCAGTAGAAAAATATCAAAGACTTCTCTAGACTGACTGATGAATTGAGAATGTCTGAGAGATTATGTCACTAATCATTGACTGAAGTACAATTTTTTAATTCATTTGGATACCAATTCCACATTTTGACATTTATTTTTATCAAGTTTCTACAGAGGTTCAGGCAAAAAAAATGAATATTGAAGAGGTATTTGTTTAGTGTGTGTTCTTTTATAGTTTTCTAGGAAGTGTTTTAAGTCAGTATCAGTAATACAGTGTAGAATTTTGGGGATGTGGGGTAAGATAAGATATTGTTCAGATTTTTATCCATGGAGGGTTAGCCACCCAGGATAACCCAAGAAAGGCAGTATGTCAATGAGGAACTGTTTTATTTCCATTGGAGTTCTCTGTCTTGTCCCCCAGGATGCGACCCACACCATTCGACTAACACCCAGGTACCTACCTACTTGCTTCGTGAACAGGGACAGTAGGTGTATGGAAACACACCCAATGCTTCCACTCTTGCCGGGGATCGAACCACTGACACTCTGTGTATGGGGCAAGAGTTTTGCCTGCCAGGCCACAGGAATAAGTAAGTAAGTTTATTCAGGTATACACAAATACAGTTACATAGAATTATCATACATAGCAGCATAAGTGTAGAGAACCTAGGATAACCCAAAAAAGTCAACAGTCAAAAGTCAGTGAACAGTAACGTTTATGTATGGCATTAATATTTAGTAAGTTCAGTGATTTGAATAAGGGCATAGTGTGTTACCTAAAATTTGAGTTTAGTGAGAGTTCTAATAGCTGCCTTTTGTGTGCAATAACTTGGTCGAGTTGGAACCCGAAACACAAATTCCATAGGAGAAGCGTGGGTAAATGAGAACCTAGTTTTAGTAAAACTGATTACGAACAGTGAATTTTGGAGAATATACAAACAGTTTTTGATACTTTTTATATCAGGTGGATATAGGCATTAAATTTTAATTTATGTATAAGCAGACCACATTAAACTCATTCACACATTAAACCCATTCATACCCTTATATTAAACTCATTCACATCACATTAAAATACTTCAGGCTATATTTAACCCCTTCACAGCACATTATCAAACCCATTCACAGACCTATATCAAAGTTATGTAACATTAAACTATTGTAGGTAAAAAGACACGTATGCACTGATGAACACATTAATGAAACGTTTTGCCACTGTCTTTTGCCTACTGGTCAGTATCAACATAACAGTACTGCCGACATTAAACCCATTCACACTTAAGGCTGGGACGATGCCCACAGTTTTGCTGATACCAATACCATCAAAATTAGCCAAATACCCAATACAGATACTCTAGCACACCCCTAATTCATACCACCATAAACCCTTTTAGGGTATCACACTAAATCCATTTATGCCAATATATTAAAATTTGTTTAATGTATTAAGCCAACTCAATCTAACATTAGCACTACTATAATAAGCACTTTACACTCCCACATAAAATCAACTCAATCTACCAAACAAAACCCTTCCTCATCACATTAAACTCATTCATATTATCACACTGAACCCCCTTCACATCACTATATTCACACCATACAAACAAATTCATGCCATAACCCATTAAACCCATTTACACTGCAGTATACCCCTTCCAACTCAATATTAAACCCATAACACATTAAATTCATAACAGCATATTCAGCACAGTCACATCACAAACCCATTAACACCACCACGAACACATTCACACTGCCACATTATTATTACATTCATGGGGGAACACTGAATGGGAAGCATTCAGGTTGAGCCAGTTCCTTGGATCAAGAGCCCCTCACCAGTCTCGAGGAACCTCCCTTGAGTGATCACATACTGCCACAATAAACCTATAGGTATCACATATTAAACCTACTCACACCACTTTTAACTTATTCATACCACTATATTAAATCCATTCACACCTTTAAACCTATTCACACCATACATAAACCCATTCACATCCCAACAATAAACACTAACACCAGTACAAGAAACTCATTCACACCACATTAAACCCAGCAATGCCCCACATTAAACTACTCATACCCTCACAATATGCCCATTCACACCACATAAAACCCATTCACACTACACTAACTCTACTCACATGACCATATTAAACCCATTCACTACACCACAATACTCATTCATATTACCATGTTAAACAAATTTATGCCCCACAAAACACATTCACACCATCACAAAGTCATTCACATTACAAAGTCCAGTCACATCACAGACACATGCACATCACAGACCCATGCACATCATCACAGACCCATGCACATCACAGACCCATGCACATCACAGACCCATGCACATCACAGACCCATGCACATCACAGACCCATGCACGTCATCACAGACCCATGGACATCATCACAGACCCATGGACATCATCACAGACCCATGGACATCATCACAGACCCATGCACATCACAGACCCATGCACATCACAGACCCATGCACATCACAGACTCGTGCACATCATCACAGACTCGTGCACATCACAGACCCATGCACATCACAGACCTATGCACATCAGACCCATGCACATCATCACAGGCCCATGCACATCATCACAGACCCATACACATCATCAGACCCATGGACATCATCACAGACCCATGGGCATCATCACAGACCCATGGACATCATCACAGACCCATGGACATCATCACAGACCCATGGACATCATCACAGACCCATGCACATCATCACAGACCCATGCACATCATCACAGACCCATGCACATCATCACAGACTCATGCATATCACAGGCCCATGCACATCATCACAGACCCATGCACATCATCACAGACCCATGCACATCACAGACTCATGCATATCACAGGCCCATGCACATCATCACAGACCCATGCACATCATCACAGACCCATGTACATCATCACAGACCCATGCACATCATCACAGACCCATGTACATCACCACAGACCCATGCACATCATCACAGACCCATGTACATCATCACAGACTCATGCACATCATCACAGACCCATGTACATCATCACAGACCCATGCACGTCACCACAAACCCATGCACGTCACCACAAACCCATGTACATCATCACAGACCCATGGACATCATCACAGACCCATGGACATCATCAGACCCATGGACATCATCACAGACCCATGCACATCATCACAGACCCATGTACATCACAGACCCATGCACATCATCACAGACCCATGCACATCATCACAGACTCATGCACATCATCACAGACCCATGTACATCATCACAGACCCATGCACATCATCCCAGACCCATGCACATCATCCCAGACCCATGCACATCATCACAGACCCATTCACATCACAAACCCATGCACATCATCACAGACCTATGTACATCATCCCAGACCCATGCACATCATCACAAACCCATGTACATCATCACAGACCCATGTACATCATCACAGACCCATGTACATCATCACAGACCCATGTACATCATCACAGACCCATGGACATCATCACAGACCCATGGACATCATCACAGACCCATGCACATCATCAGACCCATGCACATCATCACAGACCCATGCACATCATCACAGACTCATGCACATCATCACAGACCCATGTACATCATCACAGACCCATGCACATCATCACAGACCCATGTACATCATCCCAGACCCATGCACATCATCACAGACCCATGCACATCACAAACCCATGCACATCATCACAGACCCATGTACATCATCCCAGACCCATGCACATCACAGACCCATGCACATCATTACAGACCCATGTACATCACAGACCCATGCACATCACAGTCCCATGTACATCACAGACCCATGCACATCACAGACCCATGCACATCACAGACCCATGTACATCACAGACCCATGCACATCACAGACCCATGCACATCACAGACCTATGTACATCACAGACCCATGCACATCATCACAGACCCATGCACATCATCACAGACCCATGTACATCACAGACCCATGCACATCATCACAGACTCATGCACATCACAGACCCATGTACATCATCACAGACCCATGTACATCACAGACCCATGTACATCACAGACCCATGCACATCATCACAGACCCATGTACATCATCACAGACCCATGTACATCACAGACCCATGCACATCATCACAGACCCATGTACATCATCACAGACCCATGTACATCATCACAGACCCATGCACGTCACCACAAACCCATGCACATCACAAAACCCATTCACATCACCACAAATCCTTTCACACCACCACAGTGCTCATTCATGCTACTACATTAAACCCATTCATTCCATATTAACCCCCATCCATACCCCCTTATAAAACCCATAAACAAAAACCCATCTATACCAGCCACATTAAACCCATTCACACCACATAAAACCCACTTATATCCCAGACACAGAACCCATCTATACCTCCCCACATAAAAACCCATTTGTACCCCTACGTACAACTCATTCACACTAAATTAAACCCATTAACATTAAACCCATCCATCAATTGAGGGTCGTCCTCTGCCCCCGAGATTCCTTAACCAACCTTAACTGCAGGGAAGCCTTGTCTTACCTTGAAATACTCGTTACCGTTAAGAGCGGCAAGATTATTCTCATATTTACTGTAGATAAGCCTAAGATGCTGGTAGGTGTCGGGTAAAATGTCTAGAATGAATGGAGGGGAGTTTTTCAAGTTCATTTTGGATTGCTGGCACTGTTTCACCACTTTGTCCATCAACTTCCACGTCTTTTCTAAAGTTCGTCTCTCTATGACCAGTTTGGGCGGAGCCATGGCATCCGTGAAGGCACCGTGTAGCCGTGAGATAAACGATGTAATATTTTTGGGCTGTCCGTTGCGTGTCTTTCCACTAGTAGCCATCTTGGTAGCACTGGCAGGCGGGCCAACCCTCCCGCCCCGCACACCCACACCACACTTATGAATGAACTTCCTTCCTTCCTTCCTTCCTTCCTTAATGGCACTTTAAAACCTGGACACTACACTATGGGTCATTAAAGCTGCGTGTGGCCTCCTCGCTAGACAAGAATGATTTAATGACTAAAATAGGGATTAAGGTAAACTCTGGGTATATATACACTGAGACATGTACACCTCTCGGTGTTGTGTCCTGTGAATGAACGTCCTCAATTAACTTTTTAGCCCCGTCGATTATAATGGGCGTAATTAAGGCTGATTGTCGCCTGTTCTCCAACAGTCATGGATGCTTTAATCCCTAAAATGAGGGATTAGGGTTAAACTCCCAGTGTATATAACACTGAGAAATACACCTCTCTCGGTGTGCATAACCTTGAATGAACTATTCCCATCGCACTGCCTAATTACATTTTGGCTCTCACATAGCCTCGTATAGGAGGAGTGTCTATGTCAGCATCAAACGACACACTGACTCGCTGGTGCACTCTACTGAGCGAGAATATGACGGGCGCCACAACTTCCTGTTAAATTAGATAATGATATCTCGAGTGATATGAACCGGATTTGATGCTCTGCTCTGCTTTCACACGTCCCATTTCAGTGTAGCACTCGAAATTACCATTACCCGTGACCTCACGTGTTTCCCATTATGAATGAAATGGTAAATATTCGAAGAGGTTGGCGGCCCTTGATTGAATATTTTGGGTTTGCGAATTTGCAAGGTGATTGTTTGTGTTGTAGGCGAGACTCACCCTTAACTCACTAGTCCATAAGGCTCACCTTTCCCATATAACCCCTACGAGCACACTTGCCCCGAGGCAACTTTCTAATACTATAAGTATCGTCATTTAACAGATAGAGTTCGATAGATTTTTCCATGTGTCTTTTGAATAGACCACAGGCTATCCGCCACAACATCGTAATTAACCGCATGGTTCAGTATAATTGGGATATTGAGATGTGGCAACAGAATTCTCATTGGCAGTGTGTGTTTTTGTATCATATTGTGGTATCAACCTATCACGCAATCGACCTCTCGCGCGATGCACCTGGCATGCAATCGACCTGTCACGCACTTAACCTGGCAATTCACACAATCTACCTTTCAGGCAATGGAACTCACATGCACTCGGTTTCACATGCAATCGATTTCACACGCAATTGATACTAACGCAGTCGACCTCTAACACAGCTTCTCACATAATCTCTCACACAATCAGTTCTCACAGAATCAACCTCTCGTATAATCACCTCACACAATCAACCTCATACAATCAATCTCACACAATCAACTTCTCATACAATCAATATCACACAATCAGCCTCTCATACAATCAACCTCTCACACAAACTCATACAATCATTCCCTCACACAACCTCTCATACAATCAGTCTCGTACATCTCATATTTAACCTCTCATACAATCAGCCTCTCACACAATCATACAATCAGCCAGTCACACAACCTCTCACACAACAAGCCTTGCACGTAGCATTACATAGAACACAAATTAACATCTCTCATACCTTTGTAACTTGTGAGTTCATTACCTTTGTAACTTGTGAGTTCATTACCTTGTACCTAGTTCAGCCATCAAAACTTTGGAGCCCGGTCCCTGGACCCATTGTGTACCTCTGTAATCTGTAAATACCTTTGTAACTTGTCATGATTGTGACTAGACCTACCTGGAGTTCATTACCTTTGTAAATTGTGAATTCATTACCTCTGTAACTTGCTCAGCTATCAAAACTTTGAGGCCCAGTCCCTGGACCAATTATGTACCTCTGTAATCTTTTGACTACCGCCCACAGGATGGGTATGGGGTGCATAATAAACATATTAAACTTAAACTAACTCATACCCGGGCACACTCGAGTACCTTATTATTAGATACACCGCATTGTAGGGCTATCCTGATCTATATGATATTTTACATGTTTATGGTTAGGCTTAGGAAAAGGCTTGGTTTAATATAGTTTGTTATCTTAATTATACACTTTAGTTATGTGTCTTGCTGGGTTACACAACAGAAGCGAGTGGAGAACTCCGGGGAGTTTGGAATAAAGGACCCCAATGGAAATAAGTCACTGTCTGACTTTTTTGGGTTATCCCAGGTTCTCTACACATATGCTGCTATGTATGATAATCTATGTAACTGTATTTGTGTATACCTGAATAAACTTACTTAAATCTCCTGAAGGATGTAGCCTATGAAAGTCTCCTCTTTTGCAACAAGGTGTTGGATCACGGTCAGTACTGGCTATCTTTAGTATCAAAGACCATCTTAATAGGCATTTTGTAAATTATAACCGGGAGACAATAGTCCGACAAAATAATAATTTAATATCTTTAATATTAACGTGTTTTAAAAGAAGTAACAAATACTCTCTCTTGTTGAAAAATACAGAATGGTACTTTTGAGTACAATAATACTAAAGGCCATAAGTTTATAACACAATTTATGAACATTTAAAGTGATATTTCCAGTGTCACGAGTCGTGATTAACCATATACGTATATACATATACCCAGTGGTTTCAATCACAGACGGAAATGTCTCATTATAGGTCGACTTTATATATGTACAATTCTAAATTGTACATCCGTTCTCGAATAATCACCGGCTTTGGGTACGATAATCCTCCAAGTAAGAAGCTAACCTAGAGCTTGAGACATTTATCAAAACATAACAAGCGATCTTAACGAAGCAAGAACAAAATACACAGCTGAGATCTTGAATAAAATATTGGAGTGCTAATACTCCCTTCTTTCTGAATATAAGTTCGGCTCAGTTCAAATCAAGACTACGGTAATACGTAGAGGTCACGGTTAAATCCACTGATTGACTTTATAACGTCAGAGAAACTCGCAACCTTAGTTGATATCAAAATATTTAAGTCCAGAACTAACTGTCCATCACTGATACTCAGCGTAGCGAGAAAGAGGTTCCATCTCACCAACAGAACCGTTTGTTACCCAAAACTTGGGTCTAATCAAACTTCGAGAAGATGTTTCCAAGGCTAGAAGCAGGCTGGTACTCAGGCAACGCCAAGCTCAAGAGAGTTAAGTAAGCCCCCATGTGGGGTGAGCTGGGAAGACGGGACAGGCGAAAAATAGCGAAGAGGAGTGTCCACAGTCTAAGAAAAAGTGCGTGTGCTTAACCCAGCAGCTAGGCGCTCGTGAGACAAACTTGGAGAAAAAAATGGAAGAGAGTAAGCTGTGAATGCAAGTCTCGTGGTAGGTGAGGTCTTGAGTCATGAGAACTGGTAGTTTCTAGGTCGCAAGAGAGGGCAGGCAGGTAGGAACAACAAAGGGCAGCAGGCAGGTGGGAGTTATTGTAGTATTTGAGTAAGCAGGTTTGCAGTGGAGCCATTTTCAAACTTCTTGAAGCTGCTTCTGGAGAGGTGGTATAGTTTTGTCTTGTTGGCAAAAGTGAAACGAAGAGGCTTGATGAACTCAAGAACTTGGGTGAGTGTGACGTGAAGAGGTGAATCGCAGACATACTTGACTGTTCTATCACCGAGGCCTTTGTAGAGTTCAGAGCAGGTCATGGTGTCAGCATTCTAGGAAGAGGTGAAGAAAGTAAGGTTTTCCCAAGAGGGTCTGCTGATGTTGCTGTTTGCTACGTCGGTGGATTCGTCAGAAGATTCTGGTACAATTGTTTCTGCTGTGATTGTGTCGAGAGGAGGCTGGGAATCTAGAGGATTTGTGTCTGGTTGGTTGTCGGCGATTGTTGAGAGATGGTAGTGGTCATTAGAGTGGCTCAGGCGTGTTTTTTTGGGCGCAGTTAGGATTTGGGCCTGAAGTTGATGTGAAGTTAAGGATGTCTGGGATAATCTTGAGGAAGTCCTGTGATGGTGGCGAGTCAGGAAGTTGAATGTCGGCATGTTGTTAAGACGGAATAGTTCGTTAATTGCAGTGTTGAATGTGTCTGGGTTTTCTGCATTGGCGAAGTGCGCATACATCATGCAATACAGCACCTTATAAGGAGCAACGTCAGGGAGTGCAGAGAGGGAGTTATTGGACAGAGATGACTGCTGTGTGGCTTGGAGGATTCTGGCGGTGTCCGACTGGAGTTTTGAAATGGCGGCATATGTCGGCGATTTGGGGCTGTTCTTGGTTTCTTCTTTAATTTTCTGCGACATTACTTCTTTTCGTAGTGGGCATATGGCATCAAAGGCATGATGAGTACCCGTGCAGTTAAGACATGTTGGAGTGGCACTGGTGGTGGTGCAAGCTTAGAAGTCATGACCTTTTCCGCAGGTAGAACAGAATTTCTTCTCTTTAATGGGACAGTCCTTGGTTGAGTGTTGATAAGAGTTACAGTTCCAACAGGGAGAGACATGGGCGAAACGTTCAGGTTCTATGTGGCGTGGATGTATGTGGTAATATGAGATAGCTAGTCCATTAGAGAGCGCTTGGGTAGCCATATCAGTTGAAAGTGATTTTGACATAGATGGGCATTGGGAATTGTTGATAGGTCTACAGAGTCCAGGTGTTCTTTCTTCGTAGAGGCTCAGTCCTGGTAGTGTGATTGCTTATCCAATCTTACAAAAACTGAACGTTTCGCAGCAGGAGGGAAGGTGTATGTGATTGAGGTCTAGATCTCATTTATAGTCAGCGCTTGTAGGGTACATGACATAAAGGAATCTGATGAGTGGATCGTGTAAATTTTAGTGTAGCAGTCTACGCAGAGTGTATTGTGATCATTATAACAGGTGTTGACTCGTGTGCATATCGCGAAAGTAGAGGTTCTTCGTGAGCTTATCTTGGTAAGGATTGTGATTGTCTACCAATCGTTAACAAAAACTGACGTTTCGCCAGCAAGGAGGAGACGGTGGTATTTCGTATTGACGGTCTCAATGTATTCATTGCAATGTCGTCATTTAAAGTTTCAGCTGTTCATGTACGTCGGTACAGATGACAATAAAGGAATCTTGATGAGATTGATCGCTTGTGAATTTAACCCCTCATGGAAGGTTCCTTGATGTTGGTGAGGGGCTCTTGATTTAGGGAATTGGATCTGTGCTCCAGTTCCCCGAATTAAGCCTGAATGCCTTCCACATCCCCCCCCCCAGGTGCTGTATAATCCTATGGGTTTAGCGCTTCCCCCTTGATTATAATAATAATAATAAGTGTGAATTTAAGTGTAGGCAGTAACTTATAGCTGCAGCAAGTGCTAGTTTAGTGAAGTCATTTATAACACCACTGGCTGGTTTGATCTTAACACGATGTGCGAACATCGTCGAAAAGGTAGAGGTTCCCCTTCCCAACGGGGATCGTAGGGAGACTGTGATGATGAGAGTAGGAGCTACTGTGACTGCACACGGCAAGGTCAGCAGAGCGAATCCAGGGCAAAAGAAGGCAACGCCTCTACTCGGTTCATGGGACAACTACCCGAGAGACCGACTGGCTATTTTACGGTAGTTAGCACAGCAGTTCCCGACTTAATTCAATAAAACA